AGTAGGATTTCAGGTATTTTTACCTTGTTCTTCGTACCTTTATGAATTGTTTTATGTATTTATTTATTTATTACAAATGAATATGTCTCTTAGAAAAAACACTTACAAAGGTCATAAAACACAGCCATCTGGGATAAGAGTAGCTGGTTTAGAAGATCTCTAGAGGTGAAACGCAACATTGTGTTAGGACACAGGGCAAAATTATGAGAATCAAATGTAAGCTTGAAAAATAGCTGCCCTCAGTATAAACTGGTCCAATCTCTTCAAGAATCATTTGGCAATATCAAGCAGAACTGAAAATGCATATTGCCAACAATTCTGTTTTTTGTCACACTCCCTAGAGAAACACACACATCTGAGCACAAAGAGAGGCGTGAAAGATACCAACTGCAGCATCGTAAATAATAATGAAAATCTAGAAACGATGCCAATGGCCATCATCTGAGTCTGTTCGGGCTGCTATAATAGAAATACCTGAAATGGGGTGGCTTATAAACAACAAACATGTATTTCTCACAGTCTGGAGGCGGGGAAGTCCAAGATCATGGCACCTGCTTATCTGGTATCTGCTGGGAGCAGATGATTCACTGTCTCTGGCCAGAACTAGTCACATGTCCCTGCTCACTGCAAGGGGTTCTTTTAAATGAAAATAGAGCTAAATGTATCTTTATGTTGCTACTATTCTTCAAAAGTGGTCCTACGTAGCTTTGTCTAAACATGAGAAATAAGATTCATGGCATGTTTTCAATCAGTTTTTAAAAATGGGTTAAAGGATCTTGCAATAAGTCTTGGGTCTGTTTAGTAAACTCATTGTTATGCAAAGAAATTACATTCAGAAGCAGGAAATGACTTTATTTGCTTAAGAAATCGGTTCACTATCCCAGACAGTGGCAATGGGCATTTCTGAAACTCCTAGGGACCTGGACCCCTGGGGGAAATAGGCATCTGACTCCACCCTTCCTTCTTCCACATAAGCTTATTTCTATGTTTATTCCTGCTGTTCTCACAGAGTAAAGTCCATCCCAGCCTGTACATTGCCCCATTTCAGCCTCCACCCAACGTTAAAGATTTCATTTCTGGCTTTGTTTTTTATTATTAATTTTCATATTAACCATAGTTAAACATATGTTGTTACTAAAACATTTTGCATGTATCTGCAAGGCAGCTTGCCCTGGAGTTGCTGAAATCACTTTTCCGTGTAAAGAACCCACATCTCACATTATGGTGCCATGTTATGGGCAGAGCACACAGCTGGCAAAAGCAGTGCTCCCCTGAATCTGAACACCCTTCAGGTAACAGTGCCAGGAGAGCAGAGGACCCTGCCTGCAGTGTTTGTCTGTTAAGAAACTATCAGGACACTCTTAATGGAAAGAAACGCAGTTGAGATGCCTTATGGGGAAAGTCTCCCTGCCTCCTGCCAGAGGATGAACCAACACTCAGCTTGTGGTCTTCACCCTTCAGACCCCAGGAATTCTGATTCTGTCTGTGGAGCCACCATTGCTCGGTCACCGTCCTGCAAAACCAGAGCTCCTCTCTCTCATCTCTCTCCCCCCCGGTCCCTCGGGCTGCATAATCCTTCCTTCTTGGAATCTGCCCTTCCCTGGCCCTTGTCCAACCTCTCCTCCTTGCATCTGCCCCTCTGTAATTGTTTCTTGGCCAGTCTCCCAGCCTCCAGTTTCTTGCACACCAAGTCCTCTGCCCTTTGCCTTACTGGGACTCCGGGGACTTCCCTCAAAGCTGCAGCGGCTCCCCCTACAGGACCGAGGAGGAAATTCAGTGGGGGCCCATGGCCTCCAATCCCCTCCAAACCCATACCTCCATTTCCCTCACTTCCCCCTCTGCAAGGACCTTCAGCCACACCGTGACAGGGTCTATCCCTGGGTGGAGGGTAGGGAGGGTAGGCAGGAGGACCATTTGGCTCAAACTCCATTTTCTTTTATGAGCCTCAAGTTTAGACTTCTGAGGTAATCTGCAAATGAGGTCATGCACAGTCTCCGACAAACTGACATGTTCCTATGTAATTTTATCTTGGGTCCTGTTACTGGACCACACTATGTGGGGAACTGTAAATTAATGTATTTTTAAAATAAATTCTGTAATTTTTGTAATTGTAATCATAATTGTTTCTATAATTGTAAAGCATAATTATCTAGCATTATGTTTTATGTTAAAATATTTAAGTGTTCAATGTAAGCATATTATAAAGAGGTTATCACTCTCTTAAGCATTTCTTTTTTGTATCCTTTTCTTTCTTCCTTCCTTTTTCTGGGGCAGGTGGGGTTGGGATTCATTTCTTAGCATACAGAATCTCTTTTTTTTCCCCTTTAATGGCCTGACTTTCCTTGTCTCTGCCCTGGCCTTCTCCCCTCCTCCCCTAAATACCCACCAAGCCTCCCTGCCCAGAACTCTCTCCTTCCTGCCGAGCTCAGGCCAGGCTCCTGCCAGGCTGGGCCTCACCTCCCACCTCTTGGCGCTCCTGCAGCTCATGATGGTTGATGGTTCAGCTCACTGAGCTGTGGCACATGGTGCCAGCCCTCGTCTGGGCTTGGCATAAACCACCTTGAACTTCATATTGTCTTTCTTCCTGTGCAGTCTTGTCTTTCCAGCTAAACTGGAAGCAGGGGCTGCATCCCACCCTCACTTCTTGTATCTACAGCTCCCCTCAACGTGCCCTGAAATGCTGTCCACCCCATAGTAAGTGCCCCATAAACCCGTCCTCAGGCTGCTGCGGGTCCAGCTCACCTTGCTTGTTTGCAGACTCGTCTTAGGGAATATTCTGTAGGATGGGCATTCTTAAACAGAGGACCTTGGGTGAGCTTCAAGGGGCTCCACGAACCCTGCAAAATTGTGCAAGATCTGTGTATGTGCTGTTTTTCACTGACAGGGTTTATAGCTTTAACAGAGTCTTAAAAAGGCCTGTGACCTAAAAAACTTGGTGAACTTCTGCCTTGAGGTGCTTGGGTATCAGCACAGAAATGAACAAAAGAACTCAGTCATCTCGTCTGCAAACTGGGAGTAATGATGGGGGTCTGTGCGGCAGGGTCCTCAGGAAACGGCAATTATTAGCCTCCCTGACCTAGTTCCAGAAATGCCTGGCAGGAAGGAGTCCCCCACCCCCAAGCTGTAGCTCAGGGGTTCCCAAACTTGGGTAGCCAGCAGAATCACCTGAGGAGCTTTAAAAATAGCAGATTCCACATATGCCTGTC